GCCTCATTAAAAGCCTGAGGCCTCATTAAAAGCCTGAGGCCTCATTAAAAGCCTGAGGCCTCATTAAAAGCCTGAGGCCTCATTAAAAGCCTGAGGCCTCATTAAAAGCCTGAGGCTGGATCTGCTCTGATGCTGCAGGAACTAAGATCTTCTTCAGCCAAAGGTTAAAAATCACAGTTTTACCAAATGAGACGTTTCCTTCTCTAGCAGGGAACAAATCTGGTTAACACAGCTTATCATTAGACTATACGCCACCAAGTGGTCAGGGTGTGAATTGCTATCTAAGAATGTGACTTTAGGATTTATCCTCCATCTTTAAAAAAGGATCAGAAAAGGTTTGGTTGAGGCCACTGCTGGTTGGTTTGGTTAGACCCCCGCAGGCCTGATCAGGTTAAATGGAGGATCTCTGTGGAACGGGGGGGCCCAGCGGGACATCAGTACCTTGGCATGCTTGAGCTCCAGCTCGGCCAGCTCCACCAGGTTCTTCCTGAATGCTGCCACTCTTCTCGTCTTGAAATCGATGAGTTCTGTGGAAGATGCATCGTTATTCTCAACCCAAGTTCACCTATTAATTAGCTTGATCAGCTTTATAGCAGATGGTAAAGTTGCTCCACACATTCCTGACTGCATACGAATGATCACAGCCTCCGACCTTTAAATAAGCCTTCTGCACATTTAAAAGAAAACAGGCATTCTACTGTCCTACAAGACAAATTATCACATAACTAACAGATGTGAGGGAAAGCAAAGAGCCAACAGCCAAAACAGTGAACCAGTCTGGTGATAAAACAAAGAAAGTAGGTCTGTTGTTTACCAAGAGTGACAGAATAAAATCCCAGTGACAGACAGGAAGAAAAGCTCCAGTTCTAGTCTGGTTAGAAATCCCATCATCGTCTCTCCTCCTCCTCAGAGCAGATCGTCAATAGAAACGCTCCGCGTTCGATTTCAGCTCAATCATTTGGAAAGCAAAGTCACGCAGCATTGCATGCTTCCGTACCCGAAGCTAATCTGCACATGTGCAGGCAAATACTTATCCAGGTCACCCTAAATAATATAATTATAGTGTTTAAAGTATTCATTTCTATCCTAAAACCACCAAAGAATGTTAAAATACATCTAAAAACATTTCATGACTTTTCTGAGACAATTGTAATCTTTTAAAATTCAGTGAAAATGTTCAGATTGTCCAGCAAAATACGATTACAGCGTCTGTAACGACATTTTAGTTTATATGCTATAAGGTTAAAGCCAGAGGCAAAATAAAACTTAAAAAGACTCGATTTATGTTTAAATCCAAAGCCTGCTGATCAGCCAATAGGAACGCAGAGAAGATTCCAGGACGTTTTATGATCCACAGAAGAGAAAACCAGAAGGTCCCGTTGCTTCAGAAAGCTTTGCCCGATGAATGTAAATTAGGAGCATGGCTGAGTTGATTATAAATAATAAAGAAAATATGATTCTGACTGCGCGTGAGGATCCTTTATAAGGGAGAGGGATTTGCCATGAATAAAAGTGAAAAAGGAATCACTACTATAAGGGCTGTGACAGGAACAAACAAACAGTGACCATGGCAGCAAACAGCATCTTTCATGGCTGTTCTGTCTGGCTGTAAACCTGCAGCAGGATTGGTGGAGTGAGCATCTCACAGCTTCACCCTGAGTCAAAGTGACTGACCTTGCTTGGCAGACTCAGAGATCTTCTCAAACTTGTGGCAGCAGAGCTGCTGGTTGGTCTCTGCCTGCAACACGTCTCTGTTTTTAGCCCGAGCTTTGTCCAGAGCTTTATTAGCGTTCTCATAGTCCACCAGCGCCCGGCTCCTCCGGTAAAGAAGGTCCTGTCAAAGCAGCACATCAAACCATTGTTAGAACCGAAGGCCAGGACGGCCGCTGCCCGTCTGTCAGGAGGCGTTCACACCTTAGCAGCCTGCGACTCCCTCAGGTAATATTTCAGCAGGTCGGCCAGCTTCAGGTCTTCATCCGCCGCCACTCGAGCTTCAATTTTCTTCAAGAAAACAAACCAACAGAGAATTGATCATTTCTTCGGGATTTGAGCAAAAGCTCCAGTTCAGGCGGCTCCTATGACAGGATCCGGTTCCTTCAGCAGGAAAGTTTCAGAGGAATAATATGATTTACATTTCAAATAAGAAAGAAAACATGTTTTTTTTCTGGCAGGAGATCAGTAACATAATGCAAAATCTATTTTAGACAGAAATTCATTTTGTGTTTTTGTCATATTTTGGTGTTTTACCATCAGAATCTATATATCCATGTCTAGCAGCTGTAATGAACAGATAGCTGGAGATGACACATGTTTGGTCTAACAGTGAAAATAATAAAAATAAAATTGAAAAATAAAAAGGTAAATAATATGTTTATTATGTTATTTCAAGTAGATAAGATTAATTATCTTAAGAGCAACGATCCTAATTTCATTAGCAGATCGACTCTAATGAAGGGAAAAGACTTTATTCTATGAACTGTTTCTAGATCAGTTTTATTTCATCCCTATAAGCTTCTGCCTGCAGGCGGCTGTCAGGGTTACATAATCACAGAAATATTACTTATTACTTTCCTCATGAAGAAGCAAAAATAGGAAATAAAACTCTAAATCGGATGAATTCATTTGTTGGAGCTTGTCTGTTCACACTTCCACAGAAATACTTGATCTGGTGAGTTGGTGAACCAAAGAGGTACCAGACATCATCTCATGACCCAAAACATGGCAGCAGTTTGCTCCAGCAGGGAGAAAATCAGATTTAATACCTTTAAGCACATGAAGATCCCTCTCTATCAATAACTGTGTCAGTTCATGCCTGCAGTGGATCTTTAGACCCCAGGCTTGCTGATTGGTGAACAATTAGTGACACGACATCACTGTTACACGAGCAGCGTGTCAGATTACAGTGCGGAGGTGCTTATAGCTCCTAACAGCCGCAGCGCTCGCTGGGATCACCCTCAGAAAACTGCATCATGAAGGAAAAGCTCTGAATCCAGAGATCCTTCAGTTTTCAGTCACTGATGCAAATAAACATTTTCTCACATTTTATACTGAGAGCAAAGTTAAGAAAACAGCTAATTGTTTTATTTTTATTAGCGACCCGATGGAGGTAAATTATTTTAGCCAGATGATCAATACTCTGAAAATATTAGTCTACCTGTACTAGTTTGGTTGCATATTTTGGCTAATTTTAATTTTTGATTTCTGCAGCACATTAAGAAAATAAAACCTCGCATCCATTTGCATAGATATCTAAGCGCTGTCTGTGATTCTGTTCCATGTTAGGATGCTAACTGCTCCTCTGCACGCGGTGAAGCGTCTGCTCTACTGCGGCCTAAAGGCGCTCATGTTAGCTTCTGAATTTCTATTAAGAAGCAGAAATGAAAGCGTCCTACTGGAAAACATCCTGTTTAAACTGGTTTCAGTCCATCCAGAGTGTTTTTAGGCTGTAATTCAGCTTAAAGCGGAAGGTCACACTTACTCTGGTTTTCTCAAACAGCTCAGATACCTTCAGGAAAAACCTTAAAGGGACAGAAAACAGACAGAGGTCAGGATGTTGGCTACATATTACGGGTTTTTTCTCTGGCCAGAAGTTCGATGGCAAAT